CTCTTTTTTCATTTCCTTGTTTTTAGGGGATTACTTGTTTAATTTTAGTCTAAAATATTTGATTCTGACTTTGCTGAAATGCTCTATAAGTAACATGATGCAGCTGAACTGCAGTTTGTTGATCATGAAGTTTCTCTGCTGACAGATTTTGCTCCACATTATGTTCATCTATAGTCTGTTTTTACAGGTGTTAATGCTGAACCTTGTCGTCGTCAAACAGTGGGCTTTGTCATTAAAGCACCAAATCCCATTGAAGCACTGAGTGGATCGTGTTTGCATGTCCCATGTAGCTTCACTTTTCAAAAAGGAGAAAACGATTTTAACAATGGAGGAAAAGCCTCTGCCAAATGGATTCCAAGTACTAAGAGTATTTTTGACATCAGTCAGGGAGTTAATAACCATGAAATAAATATTGTTGGAAACATAAATCAGAAAAACTGCACCACTGTGTTTTCTGGTATCAAGACAACACAAGAAACCAAATACTTCCTCAGAGTCCAGAGAGGTGAATACAAGGCAACAGCTTGTTCTGCTTCTCTTCAGATAAAAGTTCAAGGTAAGACTTTTACTCTGCACACCTTCACAAAGTTATAGAAATAAATTGGTCCTGACTTTGATTTAATTAACCTTCATTTTACCTGTTTATCTTTATATTTTATGTTTATTTTATATTCTATAATACAGTATAGTTTATGGTCCAATATCATTAAATTCTGAAGACACATGTTCAGTTTTTGTTCATAAAGACAAAATCTTCTGAAGTATGACCTTGAAGCATTTTGGGGTTTTTATACTTTATATGAAACCCAATAGTTATTCTGGTGTTTCTGATCATTTCAGATCAAATTTACAGTCAGGTTTCACACATCCTTTTTTCATCGACTCTGCAGTAAATATTAATGCATGAATAAATGCTTAATCACATTGGAAAAGATGCCTTAACTAAAAGCAGAATCGAAACTTTCTGGCTGTTTTTTTTCTAATGGCTTCAGCCAATTTTATTTTTACTAAAACAAAATTTTAGGCAGGTATTTACAGGTCAAGCAAGGGTCACTGCAGGCTGGCAAAGGACAATGATCTAATCTTCAGATCTAATTTATACTTTAGAATAATGTCAGACAATATAAACATAGTGATTTAGTACATAGTTATTTACTTGCCCTAAATAGATACATTTCTGACACATTGTATTATTGGAGTCCTAAATATGTACTCAGTTGATGCTCTTTATTATCAAGACACATTGTTTAAATGCTGTTCAGAACAATATAGAGGAATCATGTCTTTGTGATTTCAAATGCACAGGAAGATTAGCTGGTCATTTATCTGCTTTAGTCGTGTCCAGTTTGTCCCAGTTGGTTGTACTTATCTAAACTACTGAGTCACAGCTTTTTCCACATATTCCTGATCTCTTAAACTGGAGCTTAAACATGTATTCATACCCCTCTACAGATACCTGGGTCCCATGTTAAATTATAATTCCTCTAACTCTAATCATTGACATGTTAAAAACTTGTGTTAAATGTTTTGTCTTAAGACATATGTA